CTTCTTAAACTCGGGTGCACATTTATGTGACCCAAATCCAAATCTCAACGGAGTCGAAATATGGCTCTAATCATGGGTACATTGATTGTGACGTGGTCCGAGATGCATGTCCACGACGTTGCAAATTCCTTTTAAAAAGAAGAATGAGATGAGCCTCGCCGAATAAAAAATNAGTGTGTCGACGACCACGGGTACATTGATTGTGACGCGGTTTGAGATACATTTTCACAACGTTGCAATTCCCTGTAAAAAATAATAATAATAATAATAATAATAATTAAGAAAGCGGTAAAAAGTTAAAATTTGCACATAAGTTCATACTTATATAAAAATCAGATAATCAAGACGAATATGACAGTTGAGCGACCGTGCTAGACCACGAAACTCGGGAATGACTAACACCTTCTCCCGGGTTAACAGAATTCCTTATCCGGATTTCTGGTGCGCAGACTGTAATATGGAGTCATTCTTTTCCTCGATTCGGGATTAAAATTGGTGACTTGGGACACCCTAAAATCTCCCAAGTGGCGACTCTGAAATAAATAAACAAATCCCGTTTCGATTGTCCTTTAATTGGAAAAAAACTCCTTATACCCTCGCGGGGGCGGAAAAAGGAGGTGTGACACTCACCCCTCGAAGTGTTGTTATCAACCCTTTGTGTTGTTTTGTTTGCGGGAGCACTAAGAGGAATCGAACCTCTTCCATTCGCATTTTTGGAAGGACTCAGTCATGACCTAATCTTGTCATGAGAGATGGCCCATAATAGCCCTTTGTTGCTCCTTTAGAATTCTCACCGTTTCCACAATAACATCATTAGGAGTTGTCTCTCAAACATGTTATGGATATTGCCCACCATGGACCGGCGTGGCTACGTCTTCCTCTTTGCGTGTATCACTGATTGAACCTTCGTGTCGATGGGTATTTCCTTGTGCCTTAACGTTGTATGTAATATTGACATCGTTATCTGCCATTTTCTTACGATTTTTGCTTAGAAACAAAGAATTGAACAGGTTAGTAATAGATGTAAGGATCAACTCAGTTACGCAACTGTCTAAGCCCCACGGTGGGCTCCAAACTATTCATTCGTGAAATGGTACAGTTGAATTTATACGTGGTTTATAGACAAGAAAATTGATTTGATCCCAAAATGATAAATAAATTAAATAAAAATATAAGACTGAATGTTAAAATCGAGATAAGATAATAGATAGCTTGGTTCTGAAAGCAGAGCTTCCGAAGGCAATAATAAGAATATCAATAGACGAGAAATAAAGTGTTATTGAGCTTAGAATAATGTGTAGCATAAGTTTGTCATAAAATTTGTGTCTTTACAATGGCTGTTGAAATCACCATTTATAGTTGCACCTAGGGAACAAGGTCCTATGATCAAGCCCCTTTTAAATGACAATTATGGAGGTCATTAAAGAATGTGTAATGGCAAGCTATGAATGCCAAAATTCTCTATAACAGACTATGTATTTAATACTGCAGAATATTCTTCATTTAATGCTACCGGGTGGCAGGCATTCGTTTGTCTTCATTAGCAATATTCTTTTCGGGGGCTTTCCGGTATCAACCGAAGTTGCTGCCCCCGGTCTTGGTTTCTGCATGTATCGCTTTCCGTCTGTCTCCCTTTAATATGAACCGATTTTACTTTACATACACGCGCGCACACACATATATATATAGTGCCGAATGCACAGATCTCCTCCCAGCAATTAAAATGAAAAAAGGCAACTACAATTAATTCACGGTCTGATAAATTAATTGATTAAGGAGCAGCCTCCTTAAAATAGTCCCATAGGGATCTAGTTACCGAGAGAATGATTTTAATTCTTAATCCCATATATCTTAATTCTTCATCTTGATTTTTTGTATTTTTGCAAGTTAATTAGGATCTTTTGCTCCTTAGTTATTGATTAGGGAAAAAACTATAGTATTCTTGAATATTTAAAGACAATGTTCTTGAACTTTGCTCGGAAAAAATTATCAGCAATAAAAAAAATTTGTACTCCATATCAGCGACACATTTAGTATTAACTCTGAAAAAATCATAGTAGTGAAGAATCTTTGGATTTTTGAAAGTGCTTTAGAAAAAATATACTATCGAAGAATATTGACATTATAAGTTCTGATTTGGAGAAAAAACATAATAATGAAGAAGGTTTGGACTGTACCTCAATCTTTTGACTGTATTTTGACATCCTTGTTAGCCCACACCTATACAATTAGATTAGGATTCGTAGAAGCTAGTAAGGGTCAAATATGTAAGAATAAGAAGTAAATGATAAATATTAAAGTTAAAAGGCATTACAGACCGACAATTATGGAGGGAATACCAATATTTCCTAAAACAGTGGGCAAGGAAGGGTGTTCTTCGGACGTCTTCATTGGCATCAAAGGAAACAGAATTTGTGTAATCATAGAGAGAACGTTTTTATTTTTTTGCTTCCCCAAAATAAGAAATAGACAAAAAAAAGGTAGATGTAGATGAGGCTATAGGAATTAATTCATAAAGTTAGAGGTATGAGGAAATTGAAATAGAAAAACGGTGTTGAAAGTTTACAGAATATTTGTTTGATGAAAAGAAACGGTGTGGGAAGAAGGGAAATTGAATAGGGAAAATGGAGTTGAAAGTTTACAGAAGGTTGGTTTGATGAAAAGAAGCAGTTCTGTAATTTCAGGTTTAAAAGGAGTTAGATTCCATGCAGTCTAAGAGCTTGTTTGGATTAGCCATTTTTAGATGTTGGGAGTGTTTGGCAAAAAAGAAAACAGCTTAAAAAAGTAAAACTTGGCTTAAAAAAAGCCAAAAGGCACAAGTTAGTTGACCCTAACTTTTTTTTTAGCTTAAAAGCCAACTATCTTTGACCAAATATTTTACCCTTTTATCCCTAATAATATTTATTATTTCAAAAATATCCTTCACAACAAAATCTCAATTTAACTCTATTTTTTCCCGTTCTCTATTCCTACGACTTCCTCCCTTGTATTTTTTCATTTTGCTCTTTTTCTTTCTGGTTCTTCTCGGGTTGGTAACACTTGATTTGATTCACATTTTGAGTTTTTACTTCATTTTTTTGTCCATTGCCACTCATCTGGATGGGATTATGTAAAGTATTTCCCTACTGTTTTCTTTTCATTTCATACTATTTTTTTATATCAATAATCATGCAATTCATATGTTTCCCCAGTAAGCTTGGAATTTCAAGAAATAAATAAAAAATTTACATGGTTGAACGAAGTGAATAATAAGAGTTCAACAATTATATTTATAAAAATTATCTTAGGTGATCAGTTCAAATATTAATTATTTCGTATTTATATTAATAAGTTTAAAATAAAATATTATAGTAATAAGCTTCTTTATAGTGTTAACAGCTTTAAGGATATTTCAGTCATTTTAATATAAAAAGTGCTTACCAGCACTTGTTTACCAAACATTTCAACAGTTTTTTTTCAGCTCCAGCACTTTTATCCAAACACATAACTACTTATTTATAAAACCAGTCCCAACACTTAAAAAGTGTTTTTAAGCACTTGTGCTTAAAAGCTACTTTTTTTTAAGCCAATCCAAACGAGCTCTAAAATATATTTTTTTTTAATATTGTATGATGTGTGACCAGGGCTAGCTCAATGGTAAAGCCACTCAAGCAACTGCTTGAGGCCCCACATCTAGGGGCCCAAACTTTTTTTGATATTAATAAATTTTATGATATTAATAAATAGCTATATCTGTATTTGATGAATTCTTAAAAAAATATTTAGTATATCAAAAAAAAATATCTTTCATAAATAAAGAAACTATGAACCGATAGAGATAATATATTTCTTGCCTCCTTTATATATTATCATTACTAGTTTCTCCATACGTGCGTTGCACGTGTATTTATCGAGCCATGTAATACACGATTTTGTAAAATAATATCAATGTTATTAAAATAAAGCTTCAAAATAATAATTATGCATGATGAATAAAGTAGAAGTTTATCTGAATGTTCAACCTCAATGTGGATCGTTATATCTGTTGACTTATTTTGTCGAGGTAAAGATGCTTTTCGATATCATCTGAACCTACAAAAATAGAAATCAAAATTTAATAAGATACGTGTAATTTAATACTATTTAAATTTCATGAGGCAAAAAACATGTATGAAGCGCACTTTTTTATGGGGGAAATTCAAAACTAGCCAGATTTACAAGTGGTCATTCAAAAATAGCCACAGTTTCAAAAGTAATCGAAATTTAGCCACTTTCTATGTAAAGATAAATCTGAACGAAATCACTGTTCAAAATCCGGAAAAATACTCCAGCATAATATACTGGAGTTCCAGTATAATATATTGGTCTAGCATAATATACTGGAGTTTAGAGCACCGGAGCTCCAGTCTCCAATATATTATACTGGAGCCAGCAAAGTATACCGGTCCAGCATAATATGTTGTAAGTTCATACACAAGTGCACCGAACTCCAGTATATTATGCTGGACCGGTCTCTGTTGCAGCAAAATAGTGGCTATTTTTTATTGACTTGGCAAACGCTGGCTATTTTTGAATGACCAGTCCGAAAACTAGCTAGACCGTGCTTTTTAACCTTTTTTATAGACTGATATTCTTGGTGTATATTCCTTTTATCCTTTTCAATTGCTCGGTCAACATCAAGACTCTAGTTGTCAATATTGATATCCTTATTAAAGTTTAGTTGGTGTATGAAGTAAATTAACTAAAATCAGTAAGGAGTACCTATATAGTTGGATGACCGGAAATTTTTTTTTATTTTATGAACTTCATTGTTAATAAAGGTAAAGCAAAATAGCATAGGTTATTCTTTTATTTTTATAGTATAATTTATGTGTATTCATTAGTATTTTGACACATATATGCTGGAAAATATATATTGCTTAAATTTCAAAGAAGGTAACCTCTTAGCAACCAATTGTTATAGAATTCTGAATTTAATGTGCAATTTTATTGATTCTTGAAAAAAAAATTCAACAAATAAAAGTTATGTGTCTTATGTATCCTTAATGTTGTTCATAAGTCCTATAGTATTATAAGTAATAGAGATAATCATGGCATCTCTATATTATTAACCGCGTTAAATGAGAAGAGAGCTTCTGCTAAAAGGACTGGGATTGTTTAAGCATATACGTTATTTATCGTCCTTGCAAAACATAAAGGAACTAGAACATCCGATCACATTAATTAGTTAGTAAATAAAAGATGTGCATTCTCCAATCATGTATGATAACCTTTTATGATTAGCAAAATGCAACGTCCACACTGATAATGAGATGCACTGTCATATGATACGAACAATTCTTAATCCTATTAATTGTCACGTATGGAAGGGTTGTTCATAGGATAGGGAAAGGATGCACCTTTGTTATGTCGAAAAACAAAGAGGTTTGTAGCAACGAATGACAAAGAGAAGTGTTTTTGATAAGGTTCCATGTTATATATATGATAAAAACTATAAATTTACCTTTATATATGGAGGTCTCAAACACATATATAAAATATTATTATAATCTAATGTACTATCATCTTTGTAGAAGCACATGAGTTATTTCAGACCCAAATCAATGGCAAGAGGATATAATTTTGTATGCTTACCTTCACAAAAGAACTGTATGGCTCTATAATGCGCGATCATATTTTCATATGATCATCAAGGCTTTGTTCTCATTTTTAAAATCCAACCAATAGTTTCTCTGTTTTAAAAAGATTGCCACAATTGAGAACAGAATAAGAAAAAGAAATAGTTAGAAACTATTTTGAACGTTAGTAACTAATACTATGAAAGATTGCATCCCTTCATTTGAGTAAATCATGCTAGAAAGTTTTATAATACAGGTAAGAAGGAATGTATGTAGGCAAGGTGTTTGAAGGAAGCAACCTTCAGCATAGTATTTGCTCACGCAATAGAATAAAATTCCGGAAAAAGTGAATATTTTTTTCAAATGAAAATGGTATTTGAAAATTAGAGTTGTGTTGGACATGAATATAATTTTGGGTTGTTTTTGAATTTTTATGAGTGATTTGAGTAAAAATTTTGAAAAACAGCCTTTTGAAGTTTTTCAAATTTTCGGAAAACACCAAAATTCAACACTGATTTCGAAAAAAAGTGAAATTTTTTCGGAAAAAAATTAAAAAAAAATTCATGGCCAAACGGGATCATAGTTTCTTCACAAAAAACCTCAAAGCAAATAGTAAGAAGTGAATAGAAGAACTGATAAAGTGATTTGACAAGAATGGCGAATTGACAAAGTTGTCATAAAAAATTTTCGGGAAAAAGCTAGTAATTGCATTGTTTTCTTTCTGCACTTTGACAACAAGAGACAAACATTTAGGCAAGTTTTTTTTTCCTTCAAGGCATCTTTTGAACAAGACTTTTAGAAAGCCAACGGTTGAAACTATTCTTAAAAGAAAACTTAGTTGCTAATAAGAACAAACACAACTTTTTACAAACGCCACTTAAATCAAATTGGTTCTTTCCTATCTAAACACTATTACTAATATGTTATTCCTAAATATTTTTAGAAGTAGAATATTTAGGTAAATAAGAAGGGTATTTTAGTAATTCAACTTTTAACTTTAGAGGTTCATGCTTTTAATATAACTAGTCTTAAGGTACGCGCTTTGCGCGTGTATCCTATATTCATAAATATACAAGTTTGGGAAAAAATTCTCTCTATCTTTCTTATATATACTACATAATATGTCTGGGCTGTAAAAAAATAAAATAATATGTCATCACATAAGTCCTCGAATGCCTTATTATTCTTGTTTTCTCGTTTGCTCCGCCAATATTGAGTTAATATTTTACAAGAAATAATATATAAAAAATATAGGGAGTTGTCACTCTTTATAATAATGAATGAAGAAAAAATACAACTCATTTAGAATACATTTTGTCTTTTAATATTTTATCCATATCGCTTCAAATTTGCACTTAACCAACTTGATATAATCAATTTTTCTCTATCTCTAATTTCTCTTTTCGCCGGTATCTTTCTTATGAAAATTAAAATATATGTACCATATGAGTTTTATCAACTTGAAAAATAATTTTTTGTATATGAATAGTTTTAAAAAGAAGTGAATTGAATTTATTTTACTAACTTAATTTTTTTTTTAAAGTAATTTATTTTTATTCAAATTCTTAGTATGAACTCATCCAAAATTTTATATTTAACTGTAATTATAATTTTATCCAATAAAAGTGATTTTCAAAGGGTAAAATATTGATATAATATTTTACTTTGAACAATTATATTTTCAAAATTATTAGTGCAATTGACTCTTATTGACCACGTCTCGTTATTTCTCATTGAAAATCTGAAATATTTTTAACTATAAGTTCAAGATTATTAATGTATTATCATGTAACTTTAGAGTTGCGTTAGTAAATTCTCTTTTTGGACAAATCTTCTTATTCCTTATTTTCTTTCATGAGTTTGGGAAGAATGCAATTTTAAAGACCTTGAGGTTTAACCTTTACATCATTAACTTTTCTATCACCGGATATTATAAAGGACATTCATAAGCATTATGAAATTAGAAGAGGAAGAGAAAATTGAGTGGTTGGTATGAATGGGTTAACTTGGTACGTAGTATATTAGAAATATTATAAAGTTCAAAATGTTGGGCTAGGGATTTACATATATTTTGAGTTGGTACATATTAGTAGTTTTTACTTAGTTCAAATAAAGAAAGAGTTAATGATCGA